GTTTCCTACCTGCGCGCCGCTTCAGTTTACAGTCTGCAACTCCGACAAATATTCAAATTTGCATTTGGAGCTTGACGAGTGTATTCCCAAGGCTTCCGACTTTCAAAATTATGAAGAAAAAGAGAAATCGATTGTTTGAATTCGCCAACAAGAATGGCGAATAAGAGTGCGAGATATTCGAGCGAGCCTGCCTTGTCTCCCTGTCGAGAGAGGAAACACTGCGGAATTGTTCGCATAATTTTTACACCATATGTAAGAGCGAAAGCGGAATTGTTCGCATAATTTTTACACCATGTGTAAGAGCGAAAGCGCGCGAACATTTTTAGGCCACAGAGCGGCATGGACAATAGCGGCCGCTGTAATTACGCGGTGATAAAAACTCAGTACTCACCGAGGGAATCTAATATCGCGAGGTTTACATTTTACATACGCGACTCGCACGAAGCCGATGAGAGATAATTTCTCTCTCTCTCCCTCCCTCTCTCCCTCTCTCTCTCTCTCTCTCTCTCTCTCTCTCTCTCACACACTCTCTCGTGGCACTCGAGAAACCTATCTCTCTTTTTTCGAAGTTTTACGAGTTTCTCTTTAATTAGAACGGTTACATCTTCCACTGTGCACGGGTCACGATGAAAGATAAGGCACAATCTACAAAGAGGATAAACGATTAGAATATCCACAGAGAGAGACGCCGCGTTCGCATTTCCGCGCGCGCTCCAGTCGGGATGTCAAATGAGACGAAACTCGGAGGAATTTAATAAGCGTATCAGCGGAGCGCGGGTGTAAGGCTCACGTATGGTTTTCTGAAGATTAAGTGACTGTGTGCGGCTGGAGAAAGAGACCGCTGCGGAAAGCCGGTGCGCATAACCTAATTTTCGCGTAGTTATCTATCTACGTGGTAGAAGCGCGTCTTGTTTCCCCTTACGATGACGCGCGATCGCGCCTTTAATTGATGATCGTTATCCAAAAAATCCGCGACCGTCGAGCGCGGCGAAGTAAAAGTAGAGTACGATCAATGCGCAATTTCGCGCGCGACTTTCTCGCGAAGTAATTTGCAACTGTTTCTTAAAGATATGGAAGAAATAAACAATCTTCACCTCTTAATATTAGGACTTTCAGAACAGTTAAAATCACGAGTTTATATGCACGATATCATTCTACTCTGCTAAGCTCTGCTCGCTAAAAGCGACCACTCAGTTTGATCCCCTTCTTTAAAGTAATGATTACCTTCAACAAAGAATATTTTCTTCATAATATGTACTCCTAAAATTTTTTCCTAAAATGTCTACTCATTACAAATTTGTGAAAAACTTATTATCATGTTTATTATCTCGTGAAAAGTTTATTATCTCAAAAGAAAAATTTTGTCTCTACAAAAATATTATTTATAATAATTAAAACGAAAAGTTGGTTCGATTCTATGTAATAAAAAAACCGAAAATTCTTGTTTTAATGTTCTTCATTGAGATATTAAATTTATTCAGAATGTGTTTTGAATAAACCTGATGTTTATGATGAAAATTTATGACAGATTTGCGAATATAACTAATGAGATATTTGAAACAAGTAACATTTATTTGAATGTAATATTTTTCTATGTGTATACACTGAAAGAAAGAATATCTAAAAAATAAAATATATGTATTCATTAGATATTAATAAGATATTTTCTTAAATATAAGTTCCTTTATTCAAATAGAACAATTTTTTTTTCATGAAAAGTAATGCTTTTAGGAAAATGTATATTTTTTCACTTGAAAAAATTTTTTCTCAATGTAAAAATATACATATTAGTACATATTAAATAACATATTAGTACAAATAAATATGTTATTAGAATATCCATAAATGATAAATGTTTTTTCCATTTTTTAGATCTTTTTATTTTAGTATAAATTTTTATAAAAATTACTCCAATTTATGACGGCGTTTTATATTTTTAATTGACGTTGAATGCAGCTAAAAAGAACAAGTAAACATTTGCCCCTTGTATTGCGTATTCTTTCAAAATCTCGTCATTCTGATCGCTCTGATAAAATTAGATTGTAATCCATCGATAATTATAGCGTTGAAGATGATATCATCAAAGATAATATTTTTTACGATGCTATTATTATATACGAACAAAAGAAGTAATATGCAAACGAACGCAAGCATGTCCCTGTTTTTTTCCTTGTTTGCTTTCCTCTTTCCACCGGAATAATGTTACCGTTCGTTGCTTACGGTGTAATGCAATATTCACTTATTGATGCTACGAATTGTTACGCGCTATCATTCTGAACTGCAAATTTGAGCAACGAACAACGGTCCAATTTAGGGCGGACATATTGCACGGTGCTGCAGACAGAGGTTTGCGGACGATTGGGGGAGTAAGGCGGGCGGTAGCGATGTGTTTGACTGTATTAGCTGGGGGTGTGTTTGCCAGAAGCAAACGGACGAAACCGGTAATTATATTTAGCGTCGATTCCTTAAGTACACATCAGTGGCTCAGGGCGGAATGCGCTATAGATACTACGTCCATCAAAGGGGCGTTATGTATGTACCTTCTGAAGGGTGAAACAGACGTCGGGGATCGGCAAATACTGACGCGTACATGATTGGAAGTTAATGTCGAACGTGCGTCGAAAATTAAGGCTGCCCGTTCGCTCGCTCGCTCGCTCATCCTCATCGAGGATCGAATATCGACGTACGATTGACAGTTACAAATACCGTCGATCAACGAAAACTGATCGTCCTCAGAACGATGGCTTTCCGTGATCTTCAGAGAGCAAAGAGAGAGACGGGCGTCCCACGCGTATATCCGCGTGTGTGACGTTTCCTCCTCGTCCTTCGATCGCTCGAAGTATCGACAGAAAGAATATCTCGACTAGAAGTTACTTCCATGATACTGATCATATTAATCCTACATTGAGAAAAAATATTTGAAAATTTGCAGGATATATAAAGTTTATTCCTGCCAAAAATGAAGTTAATTTCTGTAAAATAATTTATTCTACGAAGTGAACTTTTGACTCACAAATAAATTTCCTAGTATTTTTTTCTTAGTGCATAATCACACTAAGAGAAAAAAATATCTAAGGAATAGAAAATATTAATTTTTTTGGAATAACAAGTTTATTATATTAGTATAAATAAAATATTTTTTGGACAAGAAGATACACATCTTCTTAAAACTTTAGTTTTGTATGAAAGCATTTTTTAATTTTATTTAAGTCAAAGGATTTGGATTTAAGTAAATATTTCATTCTAATAAATATTTTTTTTTACTTTTTAGATGTTATTTCTTTCACTATACTTGTTTGGTTCATATAAGGTGATGTTATTAAGTTGAATTATTAACAATCCTTATTATTAATAAGGTTCTGATTGCTACTCTGCGCCGTATGAATTCTATTAGAGAAGCCGATAATATCACCTCGTACAAATCAAATAATGGTATTAGGATCGTGGAATGCATTTGCAGTCAGAATTAGAGGAACGTCCAATAACCAGCACTCCTGCGCAGATTTCAACAAATAATAAGTTATACGGGGAGTTTAATTAACTATTTATGAATTATTTATCAATTATTATTTGTTAATTGTTTTCTTTCAACCCCCACATACACCTTAATACTTGGTGAAACCCGCGCAAGAATGGTGAAAGCAGGAAGGACGACTGCTGGACATTATCCTGTATCTCGATTAAGGCAAACTAAAGGCTCGCCATTCTTATCCGCGAGAGCGACTTGTGGGCGTCGAACAAACGTAACGATAAAGATCGACGTGTGAGAGACGTTATGGCGTTCCGGTTTATTGAAGATCGCACATACACACGCGTATAGGTATGCATAAGCCGTGCGACTTTAAAATAAAATACACTTTCCAGAGCGAGTCCGCGAGTTTTGCCAACAACTATTTGTAGGCATGTCTTGTACAGGGTGTAACTACCAGCATGATTATAGATAGCATTTAGTAGCGAGAAGGTAGGTGAGCAGAGGTAAGTCGGTAGGTAGGTAGGTAGGTAGGAAGGAAGGTAGGTAGGTAGGTAGGTAGGTGATGGGGCCAGTGAACAAGTACACGGTCCGTTGGACTAATCTAAGGATAAGTTAGGCTAGGTTAAACTACACGGGACCACGCCGCTATTAACTGAAGCGGGTTAGAATTCTACCGTTCCGCCAAAAGTTTCTCGGAGAGTCTGCTGGGTATTCCCCGCGTCCTTCTCGGGCCGCGACAGGCTCGAACCAATAGCCGTAGGCGATCGTCGCCTTTATTATTTAGCGAGGCGCATCGCTAACGAATGCTACACGCGATACTCTTGAGAGATAACGCATCGGAGGTAACACGGCGATAACAGGTAAGCCAGAAGAATCTCGCCCGGGGGAGGATCGATATTGTATTCATTTTTACCGCGAGATATCGTTCCCCTGGCAAAAATTATTATGCTGTTTACCGAGAGAAAAGAAGAATACCGTCTTTGAAAATCTCGCTGTAATTCCCCGTTAATCCTCGTGAAACTTTTACTTCCTCCCTCCCCTCAACGAGAGACTTCTCCCGAGCGAGCGACGCGCGCTACTTTTCGCGACAGTAAGAGCGGGAACAGAAGTGGGCGCGGGAGGCAAGAAATGGGAGATTTTTGCGATTCAATTCTTCCAGATAGAAAGATAACTTTTCTCTATCTGCTCTCATTAGCGGCGCTCGCGGTAATCCCTCATAGCGTTTTAATTTCATCCCATTGTAATTACGTTCGGGGTTAATTGCAATTAAGGGCCGAAGATCAATTAGACAGTAAGAAGGCGGAGGTGGGACGAGTAATCCCCCTTCCCTTTGCAGTCCACCCTTGCGACGGGGCGGCGTGTGCTTTCGGGTGGCCTAAGTGGAATGTAGACATAAATATCTGGCTTACTCTGCGAGAGATCCCGAATTAGAGAGTGGCGATATATATATATATATATATATATATATATATATATATATACACATACACACACACAGGCGGTTCGTTTCGCAAAAAAGAACGTGCTTAACGCTCCGAAGAAGTACGATCTGTCAGAGCAGTCGTCGTATGTACGCGCGTGTTCGAGTAAATTTCTAGTTTAATTGCAACCGTACACGGTCTTCCGTGCTCTTTCCTCTTCTTGCATTTCCTTCCTCCTTTTTCGAACGATGACGTGTACATTATTCGAGCAACTTTCAATTCTCAGATATAGCGGATGTTTCAACGTTTCTCGTCACGTAATACAGAAATTGTTCCATAACCACGAAATTAAGTGTCTGGCATCGTTCTTGCACCATCGTATTCGTGTATCGAGGAACGACGCCTGTGAATAAGTATTTAATATAATGGATTTGACGAATCCATCACACGCGCACAAGTTTGCTTGAAGATACAATCAAGCACTATCCGAAGAAAAATATTATTGAGCAGCCGTGTTCGGTTAGGATATACTTTATAATATCGAGCTAAGAGAATATGAACGTAATTTCAAGAGATTATGGGAAATGAAGAGAGCTAAGAATAAAAGCTACGTGTCGAAATAATTGTTTCCAACAAATTTGGGAGTTTTGTATAAAAATTGAAAAGGAAATATATGCGAGGAAATATACTGCGAGCACGAGTTCCCTGTGCCTAAAATCGAACCCCTGACCCTTGCAAGGCAATTTCAATCAACTAAGCTAACCAAGCTTTTACTTGGATGTCCTCTCGAGTCAAAACTTTGATCCTACTTTCATCCTTACTATTCTATTCAACACCTATTTTTATATTCTGAAACCTACATCAATTTCTTTTGATTCTATTCGAACTATCCAAGTCGAATTTTCAAACTCAACTATTTCATTCAGCACCTCTTTTGATATTCTGAAGCCTAATACAATCTATTTTGACGTTAAAGAAAGTAAAAAGAGAAATTTCGGACAGAGAAATTTCATCAGAGTCAAAGTAGGAGTAAATTGTATCATTAGAACTAAACTTATTTTGCTCTTATTGCGTAAAATTCAAGGTTTAACAAAATTTCGACTCGGACTTACTCTATTTCTCTTATGTCTTAATTGTCAATAGTATTCTATAATATTTCATTAACATAATAATTCAGCCGCTTACAACTGAGCCTCCCTATACATCAAGCATTACTTCAAGACTAATAAAAAGTTCAAGGGTTAAATTATATACAGGATAACGAATATACGTATTTCTATCATGATCTCAGATACGCATATGCGGTACTGCGATAATACTATATATATGTTATACAATAATTACTATATAATACACACAATTAAATTACTATATAATACCATATAAAAATTTTCCCATATAGACTAGAAATAGAAAGTGCACTACTTAGAAGCAGTTGTGCGCAAAGTTGTACGCCGGATATACGTATGTCAGTATGAGGCATGCTTCACTTGTGTATCTAATATTTTCTTGTCGGTGTGGTAAATGTGTATACCTTCAGGTTGCAAAATATATCTGATGAAACTGTTGGTTTCTTGCTGACATACATAAATTTTCGCTCGAATGTGCATATATCCCAGTCGCGCGTGCGCGACATAAGGAAATTATATTGTTAGCACGCTGTATTATTCGAGAAAAATCTTCTGCGCGCACATGCTTGACGGGCGCGCACAGATGGGGACGCGACTGTAATTCCTACTCGCGTCCAAACATATCGATCAAGAAATTCAGAGCTCGCGGACGTCGAAGCCGCTCTTAAAGAGCCCGTAATGCCGGTATAAATCACGCCTTTGGGGCGCAATTCGTAACGTTGAAAACTTGGGCTCTTTGTCAATTTAATCCGAAGTTTCCGCGAAAACATATTTTTCAGATAATAACTCAGTCCCGACACCTTTACCGAACCTCCACCTGCACATTCATATCCCGGCCTCGTAAATCAAGGAGCGGTCTTACCGCAAGGGTTTCCATTAGTCCCGGCGAAAAAATCCGCGGATGACAAATATGATTGTTTCAGCGACTCACCTGCAACACACAAAGAAGAGGAAAAAAGAGTTAGCAGATTTAGTGTAACATTCGCACGCTCGCTCTCGCGCGAAGTTCGCGCGACACAATTGTCACGTGAGATTTTGAATATCCTTTATTGCGTCCCCGACAGGAAAATGTGCAGTTTGCATGGATACCCGCTTAATTGTCGTCTAGTATTAATGTATTCTCATTACGTAAAAATACCGCGCGGAGACTGGATGAGAACTTGATAGAATCTTATTCACTGGTTGAATCAGTTTGCTGTACAATATATGGATTCTTTCCAAGACATTACTATCAGTTACTATTAGTTTAGATATCATTACTATTAGTTTAGATTTTTTGTAATATACATATGTTATAATGTTTATATGAACAGAATATTATAGTTTCGTATTTCATATAAATTCTTTTCAATTTGCTATATTTTCAGAAGTGCAGGAATACACTGTCAGTAAGACCCATCTTAAGGAATACCTAGCAAATTTTGCTAGAAATATAGCAAATTTGTTTTTACAAATATAGCACATTTGAATTCCTAAAATATAAGTAGCACATGAGAGAAAAGAATAATTAGTACAGAATGTCGATCTATTCTTCAGTTACAAAATTCTATAACAATTTTTACTGTAAAGTTATCATCATATATCGCGAATAAATTTAAACACATTTATTTATACTGACAAAAAAGAGCTTGAAATTGCGCGAACAAAGATTGAATATGTGAAAAAGCATACAGCAAGAAAAAGAAAATTAGAAGAAATGAGATATTTAACAACGTTAAGCCCTGTACGTCAGAGATGAACCAAAATTAGAAATAAAAGTGAGCAAAAGATAAACAAGGTATATAGCAATAATAGGATTTTGTTGTGATGAGAACACATCAGACTATTTTAGTGGTAATGATGCGAATGAAAATTGTCATGACTTCATGACGTCATGACTTCAGACTCAGAATCTGAAATAGTACAATTACGAGAATAGATAAAAGATCATATATTATTTGATGTTTGTGAAAAATGCCACGTAAAAAGCGAAAAACAGGAAGATAAATGTTATGTGCCAAAGATTCCCTGCGTTGTAACTCCCATTAACATAAGAATTTTTTAATTACAAAGTATACATAGAAAATTAAATACTACTAGATATACTACTATATAATACTACATAAAACTATTTTATGAACACCAATCTCAATAAATAAATTTGGATTTTACGCATCTTTCACATAAAAAAATGTCATTCCACTGTTAAGAAAAGTGATTACTCAGTTGATTTTTCTTTTTTGATTAATGGTTGCTTCCAACAAAGAAAAAAATATTCTCTTAATAATAATCTTAGAATATACTTATCACAAATTTTATAAAAGCTCACTATTATGTACTCAAAAGAAGAATTAATTCTTTTGATAAGAATTTAAAATTAATTCTCTTAACAAGAACATAAGATTTCAACAAAAAAAAAAGCTGATTCGACTCTATGTAGTAGGCCAATCGAATTTCTGTTTCAATTTAATATCTTCATTGAAATGCTGAACTTACTAGGATTTTCAGAATGTATTTTCAATAAATTTTATGCTTATTTGATTTTATTATTATGATAGGTGATGAACTTATAATAAATTCGCGGACACACATAAATTTACGAAATACAAAACAAGTAACGTTCATTTGAATGCAGTATGAATTTTTCTGTGCGCAGTAACTCTGCAAGGGAAGCGTTACATCTTGAGATGGGGAGAGATCCCAAGTAATTTTACTCTTCAGTTATTATAGACAATAGTTAACATTAGGGCCGGAAATAACTCGCAAAAACTGCATTAAATTTCTACCAGGGGATCGTTACTAATTTAATCCGCCGATATTTATTCCGCGAATTCGCGGCAGCGATATTTTCTTGCGTCATTTACTTCCGCGCTTATGTGCAAATGTATGTACAAAGCGCACTCCGCGCCGGAGAATATATCCACCGCGCGTCATTTCATTATTAATTATACGTATATTTGGATATAATGTAATAGCTCCTCGCGCGTTATATCATTATTGTTCTTTGTGCCTTATAATCAGCAATATTATCCGCAATATCCCACATTGATTACATCCCTGTGTTTACGCGGTTGCGGTTCTCATCCGCACGATACGCAGCAATCAACGCCGCAGCGTTACCGCATCCCTCTTCCCCCGTTCCGCGGATTTCCGTCGTTAATCGAGCGTTTCCTTACTTATACGCGCGTCTCTCCGAATTTATTTTGCACAAGTCATTGTCGCGCGGCGCGCGAGTCCTCGGATAACAATTTAAACACATAAAACTCACCGCGTCGCTCGCCTGTTTCGCAAAGTAAACAAGTACTCGACGGAGTTTCCGCTTCCCCCCTCTCTCCCGCACTGCACTCTCTTCTCCCATCCTCCCACACTCCACCCTCCACGGCGCGTTCTTCAATCTCTGTTTGAAACATTTTTAACGAGAAGCAAATAAAAGTAATATCGTCTCGTTTGCGTCGTGATTAAAACGTAATTTCCGACTGCGAAAGATACTCAAAAGTTACAATCCAGTCGGTAGACATGGCGCAAAAGAAAATTCGAGCTTATCGCCGCTAGCGTAACAATCGCAGTGGAATTCTCTCTCGTAGTTCCTTACACTCTCGCGCATCCGTTTTAACACACTGAGGAAAAATGTTCGCTATTTTGTAACTGTAATCACAGAGAATTAATTACTGCAAATTATGGTCAAGAGAAATTTTCTTTTATTCCTTTCTATCATAATGTTAGTGATAACAACCTTGTATGCGTGTTGCTGCTACTATTTTACTACAAAAAATATAGTTGAAGCCAAAAATAACTGTGTAATTTTAGTTGAATCAACAAATTTTTTCTCAGTACACGTTGACGTGACACCGCAGATTTTTTGAAAAAACTTACCGTGACAATATTTCTTTTTTTATTTCATACATAATTCTTGACATGAAAAATACGTTCGGTACTGGTGTTGTTAATTTCTGAAAACAGGCTACTTACATGTCTTACATGTACACTGAGTAAAAATGCTCAGTATTTGTAACTATAATCACACAGAAAAATAATTACTAATACTATAATTATCAGTTATAATCAAGAAATTTTTTATTGAACTCTACTATAATGTTAGTAATATAATGATAATAATCTTATATGCGTGTTATTAATACTATTTCACTACAGAAATATGATTGAAGTTAAAAATAACTATAATTTAATTAGATCAGTCATTTTTTCTTTCAGTTTATTTTATATTGGCGCTTCCATAAACACTGATATGTCACACTTGAAGAACCTTTTATCTTTGAATATCCGAAACGATTAGCTTTGTTCAGGATTTTGTTCTGGAAAACCGCCATATCGATTTGCATATTTATTATGCAAGTATAAAGGAATATTACAAATATTTGTCCGGGAATTTACCTATCTAAACCTTTAAACATACCTTTCTCGAAACCATGTTTACAAAATTAGTGTGCACGATTTCGATACACAGGTATTGAAAATATATGAAAAGCTTGAAAATTTAACCTTGATTCAATAGACTTCGAGAAATTTTGCACGTCGATTTCGAAAATATAGTTTCGTGAAAAAATACAAATCGATACATAGCTGAAATTTTCCAAGAGAAAATCCTAATTATGATCTATTTTTTCAAGTGGCGTATTTAAAGGTAACGGTAGTCCCTTAAGTAATATAACATAATACGTGCTAGTTAATGTTTTCTTTTCCAATTTCATTTTTTCTCGCTCCTCCCGTTGCGAGAAAAGTTCCGCGTCGGGAGAAGTTTCCAATTATCAATTATGTGCGACAATTGTGAGACATTTGTGACGATCTCTGGCACCCGGCGATCCGGAGTAATAATACGCCTATTTCGCATCACAAGCAACAGTGTGTGAGTGACGCGTCATCGTGTGCGAGTCACACGGATATACGGACGACATTAATGCCGGTGCGTGTACAAGCTCCCGACCTATAGCTATAGCTAATACTGCAAGCGGCGAGAATCATGCCTAGGCCTTTTTATTATATCTCGACGCTCGCGTGTTGCTTCTCACGTGTGCGTACTTTTACTATTTAACTAATTGTTGCATTAAATGGAATGTTTCTTTACACATAAAATACACTCGTCAACAAAATTATCGCATAGGTTAATTTATGTCGAAATGTCGCACCATTTTTAATAAGCATAATACCGCGAAACATTATCGTATTTGAAAATGTTTTTTTTATTTCAAAAGTGAAGTCTGTACTTTAAGGAGCATATTAGTCAGATATTTTGAAATTATTCTCTCCCCTTTCCGCAGTCTTTTCACAAGTAAAGACTCCAAAAAATTGCACAATGTGACGTATCCTACGGGATGGAATAAATGTTTTTCGTAAATTTTATGATAATCATCGTAAAGTATAGTCTTTTCCCTACAATTAAGACAAAAAGCGGATTTGTGCGTTTTTTTCGCGAAGTTGCGAAAAAAACATCATAGTTACCTATACATTTTTGTTATCACTTCATTTGAAGCATTCTATTGAGTGGAATGAATTCTTTTCACAAATCTGACATAATCATTCTAAAATATCAGCGTTTCCTTACAAATAGAAAAATAAAGAAGAGGTATATATTTCTTCCGCGATGTTGTACGGTGTATCAAAGTTACTTATACATTGTTAATCAGTATCGTGACGTGCACACACACACGCACGTGCAGCACATACACACACACACACACATAATGCGCAAGACCCGACCAGCAACCTCCCCGTGGTACGCATCGGTAATGTTAATGCTAACGGTAACTAATTAAAAATTCATCATCGGTATATTTGATATGCCGCGGAACAAAGTCATGCACACTTCTTCTTAATTTTCTTATTTGCAAAGAAACATTCATATTTTACAATGGTTATCGTAAAATTTGTGAAAAGAATTTATTCCAGTAGAATGCATCAATTGAGCGATTTAAAAAAAATGCGTAGCTAACTTTG